CACAATCATGGAGAAAGACGGCAGCCCTCTGTGGTTTAGCTAGGATGTTGTCTAGTTAGGACGTTGGGTAGGTAAGGAGCACTGAATCATCCCATTTTTACTTACCATATGTTCAATTAACGATTTATAATTTTATTTTAATTTAGTATATTTGGGATATACTTCATCATAAACCAAGGGAGAATCTGACAGATAGCTGTTATCTCTGAATTATGTGTCCCAACCCACCACTAATTTAAATGGTGAAGCTGTTTAAAGAGCTAATTTATATTAAATGAAGTCTCATCAGAGCAGAGCCTGGCGGCCATTGTCCTTACAAGAAGAGGAAGTATTCCCAGGGGGAAGAGAGCACAGAGGAAGGGGCCGTGCGAGGACACAGTGAGAAGGTGGCCCTTTGCAAGTGAAGGAGAAGACCCCACCAGAAGCCAACTTGCTGCCGCCTTGATCTTAGGTTTCCAGGCTCCGGAACTGGGAGTATGTTAGTTGTGTCTTGTAAGCCATGGGTCTTGGTATTGTATTACAGCAATGGTAGCTGATTAATACACAGTACACGCAGAGAGTAAGTCTCAGGTGGTGTGGCCCACACCTGAAACCCCAGCACTTGGGAGACTGAGGCAGGAGGATCAGGGTTAGTGGAGAGTCCACCTCCGCTACATCGGGAGTGGAAGGTCAGCCTTGGCTATGTGAAACATTGTCTTGGGGAGGAGGGAGAAGGGAAGGAACGAAAGAAAGGGAGCAAGCTGTCGGCATTGTTAATCATGAGGATGAAGAATATTGCCTCAGGAATAGCAGCTGGAAACCTGTGGAGCAGCTGCTTCCAGATGTTGGTCAGTGGGCAGCATGAACCGCCCTTGCTGAGGAAAGTGAGCAGGGCAGCCCAGAGAGGAGAGAAGAAGCCTTCACAGAGCCAGCCGCCTTCTGAGGACCAGGGGACAGTTGGCAGAGTGGTGTGATGTGGAAAAAGAAGCTCAGAGTTCTCAGCTGGCCCCATCATCTTGTCATCGCCTCAGCCCTTATCTGTATTTGTACGGGGCAAAGCCCCTGTCAGTGAAAGTTTGTCAACTGTCCCTTCCCTACGCAGAATGACGCTGTACTTTTGTCCTCATGCCTAGACTGCATTTTTTCAGGTACCCTCTTATTATTGACTATAACATCAAATAATCAGGTTCTTCCTACATAGCCAGTGCAACTTCTTGAAATAGTTGCCTGGACTCTTTTTTTACTTAAAATTTTCTTACAGTGTGTGTGTGTGTGTGTGTGTGTGTGTGTGTGTGTGTGTGTGTGTGCAGGCATCTCTGTGTGTTCATGTGTGTGCTTGGGTATCATTTTTTGGGTATCTTAGATGCCATCCACTTATTTTTTTGAGGGAGAGTCTCTAATTGACCTGAGTAGCCAAGTAGGTTCGACTGACTGGACAGTGAGCCCCAGGAATCCACCTCTGCCTTCCCAGTGCTGAGATTACAGGTGTGGACCACCGCACCCAGATTTTCACCTGGGTTCTAGGAAAGGGATTCACATCCTCATGTTTGAAGGCAGACTACCTCTAGATTGAGCCCTATCTCCCCAGCCCACATTCGCTTATACTTTTCATCTCGGCCTTCTTACTCCTCATTTCTAATAGTTGTACTGAGATGTAGTTCACGCTGAGAAAGCTATGAAGGATAAGCCAGTAAGCCGTGTTCCTCTATGACTTTTGCTTCAAGTCCCACCTCGAGGTTCCTTCCTTGTGTTCCTGCTCTGACTTCTCTTAACGATAGACTACAAGATAAAAGATGAAATAAACTCTTTCTTCCCCAACTTGTTTTTGGTCATAGTGTTTTATCACAGCACTAGAAAACAAGATACTAGGATGTTTTTGCCTGCATGTATGCATGTGCACCACATGCGTTCAGGGTGCCCAAGGAGGCCAGAAGAGGGCGTAGGATTCCCTGGCACTGGAGTTACAAATGGTTGTGAAACCACCAGAAGATGGTGGTGCACACCTTTAATCCCAGCACTTGGGAGGCAGAGGCAGACAGATCCTGTGAATTCAAGGCCAGCCTGGTCTACAGAGCAAGTTTGAGGACAGCCAAGGCTACAAAGAGAAAACTTGTCTGGAAATAAAAAACAAAAACAAACAAACAAAAAGGTTATAAGCCACCAAAAGTTCTAGGAAACAAACCTGGATCCTCTGCAAGAGCACAAAGCGCTCTTAACCACTGAGCCATCTCTCCACCTCCCAACCCCCTACACCCAATCATTCTTTAATGCTACTGCATTTTGACTCTAGGAACAAAATATTTTCTAGGTCAGGATTGTATGGAAGAAAATCCTATCTCTAAAGTCCCGACTGCTCAGACGGGTGGTTCCCTCCCCATTGTATGCTGGTGCTGGCCCAGTGTGTCCCATACTGGTCCCTCCAACTTACCTCCCTTTAAGGTTACCATCCAGTAGAGCACAGTGTGAGCAAAACCCCTGGAGGTGCATGACATGGGGTCCTGCAAACCCCCCCCCCCCACACCTTTCTTCTGTCTCAGCTCCCAGCCCTGTTCCTCCCTGTAGTGGCCTCTCCAGCCCTGGCAGCAGCTTAGTCCCTCTATGAAACAGAGTGCAGAGGTGTTGCTGCAACCTGGCCTCTGGACAGCCTGGGAACTGCCCTGGCACCAACTGAGCTGAGCTCCATCACCTTCCCTCCTCTGTCCCTGTCCCTGCCCTGCCTGAACCGTACGTGAATGTTTGCTGCTTGAAACTGAGGCCGGGGGTAGGGGGGAGATCCTCAAGGAAGAGTGAATCACACACTCAGAGTGTGATCAAAGATGTAAACTTTTCCTGCCTCTATTAGTGTGAAGAGAGTGCAGTCGTTCTCCAAAGACAGGCACTTGAGACAAATAGGTCTTTAGCCAGTACCTGCAGGCTATGGAGGAAGCAGTAGCTTGGCTTCGGGGACAGGACCCAGCAATCCAGAGACAATGTAGGTGTGTAGAAGCCTGAACTCAGAGCAAATGATGGCCCTGAAAGCTCAGAGAACCCGCTGCTGAGGCAAGTGTGGGGGACAGATCTTGCACTAAGAAAGAGGTGATGAAGAAATGGTAGAAGAGGTGTCTCCCCCAGTGAGAACTTCTGTGTGACAGGTTCTAGGGGTGCCCTCAATCCACCAGCTCTGTGCTTCCTAACATCCCTTCTACATCAGACCTCCAAGCCCAGTCCCTGGCCTCGAGCTCGCTGGACATGCCTCCAGCTCCAACATAAAACATCTGAGCAGGCAGACACCCAGACCCCACATGCCTTGGGGTTCAGAGACACTACTGTACCCCTACATTTACAATGTAATGATTCCTGTCACTCATCTCTCTCTTGTGGTGCTGGGTATGGAACCCAAGACCTCAGACGTCCGGGGTGAGTGCTCTGCCTCTGTGCTATCCCCTGCTCATCTCTCTTATAATTTTTTTTAAAGTTTATTTTCTTATCTGTATCAGTGCTTAGCTTGCATGTGTCTGTACACCACTTGCGTGCGTGGTTCCAGAAGAGTTCAGAAGGGGACATGGATTCTCTGGAACTGGAGTTACACATAGCTGTGAGCAGCCCTGAAGGCCCTGGAAGGCCAGCACCACTAAGTCACCATTCCACCCCATTATCTCCTCTTTAAAAAGAATTTGTCCCTTGTGACTGCAAATCTCTTTTTATCAATTTGAGTATATTTAGAGTTACCATGGAAACACACCTCTGGGTATGGCTATGGAGTGTTTCTAGGAAGGTTTAACTGGAGAGGAAGGGCTAGCTCACTGATCCCAGACTGAGTGAAAAGGAGACTGTACACCGAGCACCGGGATTTGTTTCTGTTTCGTGACTATGGATAGAGAGCGAGTACCGGGCCTTCTGCTAGCCCGCTAGTGCGGACTGTGTTCTCTCCAGCTGTCAGCACAAATAGACACTCTCCTCCTTGGGTTGCTTTCTGTTGGGTGTTGGGTAACAGCAAAAAGAAAGGTAACTACCACACCCCACTTTCAAGTGGGACTTGTACAAGATGCGTAGCAAACTATTTTTTAATTATTTATTTTATTTTATGTGCATTGATGTTTTGCCTGCATGTATGTCTGTGTGTGGGTGTCAGATCTTGGAGTTACAGACAGTTGTTAGCTGCCATGTGGATGCTGGGAATTGAACCTGGGTCCTCTGGAAGAGCAGTCAGTGCTCTTAACCACTGAACCATCTCTCCAGCCCCAGAAGCAAAGTATTTTTAATAGAAATATATTTCACAAATTTATATTTATTGCTTTTTCAGTTTTTTCTTTTATTACAAGACAATTTTATTTTACATGTATGGGTGTTTTGCTTGCATGTCTATCAGTGCATCACCTGTGTTTTTAGTGCCTTCAGAGGCCAGGAGAGGGCACTGGATCCCTGGAACTGGGTCTTCTGGAAGAGCAACCAGAATGCTCTTAACGGGTGAATCATCTCTCCTGTCCCAAATTCATGTAAAGCTCAAGCTGCCATGGAGACTGTAAATGCCCTCTATGAGAATATGGGGCTAAAGGGGTGGTCTATATTTTGGCCTCGGAAGATTATGCCTGGTAATGTTTTAGTTTAGTTTAAGTATAACGTTTGCACAATGACATTGCTTAATTGTTCAGAGCATGTCACCATGGCTGCTAATGTCTAATGCACTGATTCCTTGTGGTCACATAAAGTTCTGTAGCATATGCAGATAATCCTTGACAACAAATACAGCTGATGATACACATCTGGGCTGCTATTGTGGGAACACAGAACAGATGGCAAACGTGGCAAGAAGTAGCAAATTCATGCCCCATAAAGATTATTTGAACTCACTCTTTTTTTCTTGGCCTTTTTCGAGACAAGGATTTTCTTTATGTAACCCTGGTTGTACTGGACCTCTTTAGACCAGCCTGGTCTTGAACTCCAGGCGCACCACAGCAGGCAGCTCCCTTTCACCCCTTAATGAACTACTACTCGGCCGTTCCGTCCTAGTCTCCGCGTTCGGCTGTGGCTCCGCCCCAGCCATGACGTAGAATCCCGGAGCCGCGCTGAGGGCCCTGCCCCCAGAGAAGCAGCCGCGACAGCCATGGGTCCCGGCTGGTCGCCTACACGGCGGCTGTGGCCGCTGCTGTGGCGCAGGGTGGTCTCGCAGCCAGCGGGCCCCGCGGTGTCTTCGGTTCCCCGGCTTCCTCGGCTGGCAGAGCGATGGCTTTCGGCAGGGCTGGCGGCCGGCCCGACCCCGAGCCCGGCGCGCGGCCTGCACCGTGAACCTCAGCCGCAGGAGCGGCCCGATGGCGAGGCGAGGCTGCAGCCGGGAGCCGCAGGTACGCGGGCAGGACAGCTAGTGGCCCGGCCTGTCCTGGGCTTTTCTGTGCGCTTCGGGGCTGAGTCGCAGAACTTAGGCAGAGCTAGAAGGGACTGAGAGGTGGCTCGCGCCAACTTTCCTCTAGCGTAACGAAGAGCCTGGGAGGCCAGGAGACTTGCGGTCTTCAAAACCCCAGCTGCTCACACCCGGCCCTTGGCATCACAGCCCCAGGGTCCTCACACCGCCTCGGGATCTACCCAGCGTTGTAGGAAATGGATTTTTGAGAGAGTTGGACGTAAACAGTCTAAGCAGCCTGGAGCTCCGGCCAGTGTAAGAGCTAAGAGGAGTTGGGAGCCCAGAAGAAGCACGAGAGAAGGTCAATAACAGCAGTAGAACTCCTGAGAGATGCTAGAATATGAGAGTGAGCCTTTGATGAACTTTCGGGTCCCTTGGAGTCAGCTATGAATTTAGGAATATTACAGATTTATACACTCCAGTACTCGTTTTTAGAACAAAGTGTCTAAGTCTCTAACAAAAAGAAAAAAAAAACCCACCAGGTTAACAGTTGTTAACCCAGATTGCTTAGTAAGAAAAACATGATGTTTCAAAACGAGACCCTCTTATACTGTTATTGGTCTCGGCAGCATATGTTCCTTCATCTTCTGTGAAGGCTGTGGACCAGATACTGTTTGAGAACCCACCTCCCTCACAATTACAGTTCAGTAACCTTTTGTAGCTGTGATTCGACCTATCGTGCCCCGGGATTTGCTCATCCCACAGGGCGCGCTGCTGCTTGGCGGCGTTTGCTGGACGCTGCTCATTTCAGTACTAGGGATAGAAGGGCATTTGCTACTGCTTGCAGTTGGTTAACAGCAATGGGCGTATTCAGTGTCTGCCCAGAAAAGCCGAGCTGTGCTTTATGAAACTGCGACCCAGGTTCAGTTTTGAGCTGAGTTTCGGTTGGTTGATTGGGTTTTGAGTGCAGATGGTATTGGGGATTGGACCCAGGGCCTTGTTCATGCTGGGCAGGCATTCCCGAACCACATTCTCAGCTCAGGCTTTTTACTTTGTGTATTTGTTTTTGCTTTTTATTTATTTATTTTTTTTTTAGACATTGTCTCACTGAGTTGCTCAGGCTAGTCTTAAACTTGGAATCCTCCTGCCTGGTGCTTACCAAAGCATTTTGGATATAAATACACTCTTGGAGGAGCAGTGCCACCCTCCAGGAGGCTTCTGTGTCCGTCTGCTTCTCTGGATACCTGTAGGTCTGTCTTTTCCTTGGCTATCTGACACAAGTACTTCTGCTTTTCAGATCACATTGGCTCCAAGTTTGATATCGATATGCTGGTTTCACTTCTGAGGCAAGAAAATGCAAGAGACATTTGTGTGATCAAGGTTCCTCCAGAAATGAAATACACAGACTACTTTGTAATTGGTAGTGGGACTTCCAGCCGGCACTTACACGCTATGGCCTACTACATTGTGAAGATGGTAGGATGCTGTCTTTTGTTTTGAACCTTTACCTAGAGAAAATCGTTAGTACATTAGGGTTGGATAACACTTGGGATAAACCACTATGAGAGGCTACAGAGAGCCCAGATCTCAGAATTTTCTCCGAAAGCCCAGAGCCCAGATCTCAGAATTTTCAAGAGTCATTTTATGGTTTTTCATAGTGAAAGGCTTGGGAACAAGTATTTAGCTCTTTTGAGACCAGGTATTTCTAACTTTTGTCTTTTGTGATGAGAAAAATTAATCTCCTAATACAAGCCAGAAGACAGTATTATGTCAGAGTGGTCTATAACAGTGCCAGTATGATAGCCTTGAGCTACAAGTGGCCATTGAAAGATTTTTAAAATTATTTTTTTTAAAGATTTATTTATTTAATATGTATACAACATTCCTTCCATGTATGTTTGCATGCTAGAAGAGGGTGCCAGATCTCATTATAGATGGCTGTGAGCCACCATGTGGTTGCTGGGAATTGAACTCAGGACCTCTGGAAGAACAGTCAGTGCTCTTAACCTCTGAGCCATCTCTCCAGCCCCCAAGATTTTTAAAATTATTTAAAAGGTTTAAATATTTTTATGTGTATGCATAATGCCCACAGAGGTCAGAGGAAAGTGTGACCTGCTAGAACTGGAGCTAAGGAAGTCGTAAGTTGCCATGTAGTTGTTCAGATTGAGCCCAAGTGCTGTCAGCCTCTGAGCTGACTCTCCTTACAATCATTTTAAATTAACCAGGTGTAGTAAACCCTACATCTTTAATCCCAGCACTCGGGAGGCAGAGACAAATGGATCTCAGAGTTTGAGGCCAGCCAGGTTCCAGGAGTGAGTTCCAGGACAGTCAGGACTACACAGAGAAACCCTGTCTCCAAAAACCAACAAACAAATACTTTAAATTATGGATGTGTATGCCTCTGTGTGAGTATATGCATGGGCCACCAAATGTGGCTGCCAAACAGATCCTCTGCTAGAGCAGCAACTGCTTTTAATTTTTTTTTTTAAATTTTTAAATTCTTATCTTTTGGTTTTTTGAGATAGGGTTTCTCTGTAATTTTGGAGCCTGTCCTGGAACTAGCTTTTGTAGACCAGGCTGACCTCGAACTCACAGAGATCTGCCTGCCTCTGCTTCCCGAGTGCTGGGATTAAAGTTGTGTATTGGTGGATTTTTCTTGTCCTGGCTTCTCTCAAATAAAACACATTGAGGCTTATGTTAATTATAAATTCTTGGCCAATAGCTCAAGCTTATTACTAACTAGCTCTTACAATTTAAATTATCTCATATTCCTTATTATGCTCTGCCATGTGGCAGTACCTTTAGTAGCATGGCACATTCATTTCCTATTTCCTCTGCCTCTTCCTGGAGACGCCAGACTCCATCCTTCTTCCTCCCAGCATCCTTAGTCTGGCTTTTCCACCTGATCTCCTCCTTCCCATCTATAGGTCAGTCAGCTCTTCATTAGTCAGTGAGCGGAATACATATTCATAGTGTACAAAAAGATTGTTCCACAGTGGGTGTGTGCTACCACCAGCCATCAAATGGAGGAAGATTCTTAGGAAGTAAATGGAGAGAGTTGTAAGGCAGAGTCTTTCAGATGCAGTGGGGGGAGGGATGAGAAGTTACCAAGACTGTAAGGTTTGTGGGTTTAAAAAAATGAGGTTCTTCAGAGAAGCTGCAGAAGAGTAAAAACATGCAAATTACTTTTACAAAATGTTTATATGATGGGGCTGGAAAAATGGCTTAGTGGTTAAGAGCACTGACTGCTCTTCCAGAGGACCCGGGTTCAATTCCCAGCACCCACATGGCAGCTCACAACTGTCTGAAAATTCAGTTCTAGGGGATTTGACACCTTCACACCAATGCACATAAAATAAAAGATAAATAAATCATAAAAATTAAAAAAAAACCCAAAATGTTTATATGAGAAGGGCAAGAAATGTAAGGTCAAGAAAGTTTTGTTTAGTACTTGAGAAGTGGAGCCAAGAAAATCTGTGTAAGGTCTTTGGAGACCAGCTGTGCTACACAAGAAACTGCCTCAACAGGTAAAAGTAAGTTTTGCTTTCTCTGTCTGTCTGTCTGTCTCTGTGTATCTGTGTGTCTGTCTCTCTCTGTGTGTGTGTGTGTGTTCACACATACACGCCTTCTTGGTTATCCATTCATGCAGTGGTAGACACTTAGGTTGTGCTCAGCTTTCGAATGTTGTGACTACTACTTTAAATGTGGGCATAGAACCTGTCTAGTCACGTCCTTGGTTTTAATTATTTTGGATGTGTACCTAGAGGTGTAATATTTGGATCATTCTGTTTTTAACGTCTTTAAAATTAAAACTGATTATCAAGATCTTGTGAATATAAACATCACATAATGAAATTAATCTGACTCAGTCTTTTATTTTCATGTACCCCAATCTGTTAATACTTGGGGCATGTTCGTGTGCTATATTGATGCTCCATTATGAAATTCTTGCCTGTCCCATTGTCTTGAGAGTATTTTCTGTTTTCTTTTAAAAGTTCCAGTGTTTCATGTTTTAAATGAAGGCCATGAGTTCAGCTGAATCTTGTAGAAGGTAGAAAATATCTAATCTAATTCTTCCACAGGTAGATGTCTGGTTTCACCAGTACCATTTGTTGAATCAGCTTTCCTCTCCCCCATTCTGTTCTTAATCTCCTTTAAAATTAAGTAGGCACCACACAGTTTTATTTCTGGGTCCTCTACCATCCTGTTGGTCTACAAATCTATTTAATATAATTTTCCTAGACTTGTAAATGTTTATGTGTATGAGTTTGCTTGTTTCTATGTATGTATGCACACCACTTGTGTGTCTGGTATACCCTTAGAGGTCAGAAGATGGTGTTTGAGCCCCTGTAACTGGAGTTAGTGATGGTTGTGAGCTACCGTGTGGGTGCTGGGAACTGAACCCAGGTCCCTTCAAAAGCAGAACATACTCTTAACTCTAGGGCCAACTCTCTAAGCCCTATGTGTCTCTTTTTATACCTCTGACAGCTGTCTTTATCACAATAACTGTGCCATAATCTGAGGTCAGCATTGCTCTTACTCCTTAAGATTGTTTTGGCTGTTCATTGTTTTTTGTCCCACATAATTTTTTCCCCTTAAACCTGTGAAATATAAGCCAGGCAGTGATGGCGCACACCTTTAATCCCAGCACTCAGGAGGCAGAGGCAGGTGGATCTCTGTGAGTCTACAGAGTAAGTTCCAGGACGGGCTCTAAAGCTACAGAGAAACCCTGTTTTGAAAACCCAAACCAAACAAAACAAAGCAAAGTAAAACAAAACAAAAAATCCTGTGAAATATTACACTGGAATTTTGGTAGGGATTGCATTCAGTCAGTAAATTAATTCAGGCAGTAAAGCTGTTTTCACTCTATCTGTCAATTTCAAGAGCAGGAAATGTCTTTTCTTTGTATCCTCTGTGATTTTTCCAGTGTCCTGAAGCTTCTGTTGTAGAGCTCTTTCTCTTCTTTGGCTGAATAAATCCCTAAATATTTAATTTTTGAAGTTTTGTTTTGTTTTTGAGACAGGGTTTCTCTGTACTCCTGGCTATCCTGGCACTTGCTCTGTAAACCAGGCTATCCTCAAATTTAGAGATCCACCTGTCTCTGCCTCCTGAGAGCTGGGATTACAGGCATCGGGCTTAGTTATTTTTTTTTTAGATTTATTTATTTATTATGTACACATTGTTCAGCCTCCACGTATGCCTGCAGGCCAGAAGAGGGCACCAGACCCCATTACAGATGGTTGTGAACCACCATGTGGTTGCTGGGAATTGAACTCAGGACCTCTGGAAGAGCAGTCAGTGCTCTTAACCTCTGAGCCATCTCTCCAGCCCCGGGCTTAGTTATTTTTAATGGGGTATTTTTCCCAATTGCTTTTTCTGAAAGTATATTGTTGGTATATATGAAGGTAATTAAAGATATATAAGTATTTATATATACACAGAATTGCTTTCTCTGAAAGTACATTATTGGTGTCCATGAAGGTAACTAAAGATATATGTATCCAGATTGACTGTTCTGCAGCTTGAAGTTCTTGTTGGGCTCAAGAGTTCTCTATTAGATGGGGTCTTTTATGTAGAATCATGTCATTTACTAATAGTGGTTGGTCTGCCAAGGTCTCGACTGTGAAACACTAGCTGGCCTGGAACTCAGAGATCCATCTCCTTCTGCCTCCTGAGTGCTGGGATTAAAGACCCGTGCTGTCATATCCAGCTTTTTTCTGCAGATTGAGATAGTTGTTGTTAAAAAACCTGTTTTCTGCATATAAATTCCTTGTCAAATACATGACCTGCACACTCTGTCACTCTGTGGTGGTCACTTGACTGTGTAGGTAGTGTCATCTGATGTGTTGTGCTGCTCAGGTGAAACCCAGGGTCCTGAGCACTGCAGGCAAACATCCTACCACTGAACTATACCCCTAGTTTAGAAAGATTTAATTCCCACTAACAGTTATTCCCTTTTCTTTCCAGAGTTTTAGTTTCAAGTTTTATGCTTAGGTATTTTAACCCATTTTGAGTGAGTTTTTATAAAGTTTTCTACATAGATATCAGATTTCCTCAGCATTGTTTTTTCAAAGACTGTCCCCATTTTCCCACTGAATGGTCTCAGCACTTGAATATCATTTGACCATGATATTATATAAGGGTTTATTTCTGTGTTTGGTCTGTGTTTCTAACTATATGCCAAGTACTACTATACTATCCTGACCAGTTAGTTTTGTACTAAATTTTGGGGTAGTGTTTTTTATTCTGGGGATGAATTCGGGGCTTTAGTCACCTTACCACTCTTTCTGTCTCACCTCTAGCCCTAGTAGGAAGGTAGGAAGTTTTAAAATCTGAGTGTAAGACCACGACTACTGTATTAACTGTTTAGTGTTCCCAGAGATCCCATCTCCATGTGATGGTGGATTCTTCTCTTTAAAATACATTCTTGGATTTTGAAGGGGATCACATTGAGTCTGGAGGTTGCTTTGAGAAGTATTGGCATATGTAAGGATTTGAATGAAAAATGTCTCTTACTCAGATAGTTGAACACCTGGTCCCCAGATGGTGGTACCACTTGGGAAGGGCATGGGAGGTGCAGTTCTGCTGGACAAAGTATGCCACTGGAGTGTGGAGTTCACAGCCCCATCCCACTTCCAGTTCACCCTCATTTCCCACCCCAGCCACCTGCCGCCATTCCTCCCCAACTATTCCGGCTGAGGAACTAGAAGCCAAAATAAGCTCTTTCTCTAAGTTGCACTGGTCATGGTGTTTTACCATAGCAACAGAATCTTACCAATCCACGGACATGGGCATCTCTCCATTTATTAGCACATTTTAGCAGCGCTTTATGGTTTGCAGTGCACAAGCCTCTTTTCCTCCATTGCCAAGCTTATTCCTATTTTGTTAATTTTGAAATTATTTTACCCCCAATTTGAATGCCTTTTTTCATTTAATTGTTCTGGCTAGAACTTCCAGTCTAAGTGGACATTCTTGTCATGTGTTTGGGTGGTATCCATTTTCATTTCCTTGTTCTTTACAATATCCATTTGGCTGTTGAGCTGCAGTCAGGATTTCAGTGCATGTGTCCACTTCTCCAAGTTCCCTCTAAGCAATGCCTAGACTAAAGGTGTGCGCCACCACCACCCTGCTATACTCTGCCTTCTATGTGGGAGCTGTGGATTCTGATTCTGAGCCAGCTGGGGCTACAAAGCCAGACCCTGTATAAAGTAGAGAGGATCGGGAAGATGGCTTGGCTTAGGAAAAGGGTTTGCTGTAAGACAGCTCCCTTGTCCTGAGTTAAGGACATGTGTAGTCACACTCAGCAGCCTTTGTCCTTAGAATGTCCCTGTGTCTCCTGTAATACTTCTGTTGGTATTACCTACAGGCAAGCACTGACGGTCTGTAGTAGTTCTTTGGGGACTACCGTACACTAGATGCTTTGTAGTGTACCCTGAGATTGGGTGAAGTCAGCACTGAGACCTATCCTTAAACAGGAGAGTGGTGTCTGCTTCCCAGGGGAGGTGTGGGCACATGCGGTGTGAACTGGAGTGCACAGGCACTTTGAGATTGAGTGAGGTGGCCTTCTTGGAAGAACCTGGGCAATTTGAGTACAGAGACATATAGCCAAGGAGAGGGTTTAAGGAGAAAATAATTTTTTCTGAATTATGAATCATGGGGCAATCATAATTGTCTGTGATAGCTGTGAGAAGTGAATTAGCTGATCCCCAAATTAAGTCTAAGAAAATTCACTGGGTCCTAAGTAGACACAGAGGACTCTCCCCTAAATGTATGGCCTGCTTTTGTCTTTCAGTATAAACACCTGAAATGTAGAAGTGACCCGTATGTCAAAATTGAAGGGAAGGACACGGATGACTGGCTGTGTGTGGATTTTGGTAAGTCACTGTTGTGCAGCTTACAGATAAATACCCATTATTTAAACCTCATTTTCAACTGCAGAAGGATAGAAATAAAATTGGTATGTGCATTATTTAAGATTTTTGAAATGTTTCAAGTAATAAAAATTTGATTTAATTGTAGCTCAGGTGGTGTTATTCACACGTGAAAGCTTTGCCTAACTAAAGTACTCTGGATATACTATATGCCTTATATGCAAGAGCTACAGAGATGAGTAACAGTTATATTAATATGCCAGTTTCAAAACACCTCCCAGCCAGATGTGTACTACTAAAGGAGAACAATAGCTGTATGCTCACTCAGGGCCAGGAGAAAGGCTTCTGAGATTTTAGCCTACTTGCAAGCTGTCATAGTTAGGGTCACTAGTGCTGTGGTGAACCATGACCAAAAGCAACTAGGGGAGAACAGGATTTATCTCACACTTCCATTGAAGTTGGTAATTGAAAAGCCATTAGGGCAAGAAGGAACCTAGAGGCAGGAACTTATGCAGGGGCCATGGAGGAGTACTGCTTGCTGAGTCTTTTCTTTCTTCCTCCCTCTTCCTCCCTCTTCCTCCCTCCTTCTTTCTTCTTTTTTGTTTTTGTTTTTCAAGACAGGGTTTCTCTATGTAGCTTTGGAGCCTGATCTGGAACTAGCTCTGTAGATAAGGCTGGCCTCCCTCACAAAGATCTGCTTGCCTCTGCCTCGTAAGTGCTGGGATTAAAGGCAAGCACCACCACACCACTGCCCAGCTACCCTGCTTTCTTACAGAATCCAGGACCACCAGCCCAGAGGTGGCACCCCCACATCAATCACTAATTAAATGCCCTATCAGCTTGCCTGCGTATAGCCCAATCTTTTTGAGGCTTTTTCTCATTCGAGGTTCCCTTTTCCCAGATGACTATAGCTTGGGTCAAGTTGACATAAACTAGCCAGCTCACAAGTTGACAAGTTGTTGAGGGTATGACCAGAGGAAACTGACAGACCAACTTACGTTCTCTTGGGTAAGGTTAACAACGGTCATTGACGCTCTGTGTTGACCTCATTTCAGTGCTAAATGGCAGATTGCTAACAAAGGCACAGCATCACTTTACAGGAAGGGGTCTACCATTCGCCCAGAAGTCTGAGGTGAGGGACGGATGCAGTGATAAAAACATAAGCAGATGAATCTTTTTCAATGGAATTTTTATCTGTTCCTGATAGGCAGTATGGTGATCCATTTGATGCTTCCAGAAACCAGAGAAACCTATGAATTAGAGAAATTATGGACTCTACGTTCTTTTGATGACCAGTTAGCTCAGATAGAAGCTGAGACGTTACCTGAAGACTTCATTCTTGGACTAGAAGATGCCGCCTCATCCCTGACTCCAGTGGAGTTCAAATGTGAATAAAAGGAATGCCTCTCATCCCTTAGACGTGAGCCATCTGCAAGTGCAGGTCCTAGCCCTATCTGCTTGGTCACTACAAGTTATGTCTACCTCTTGGACACTCATGCTGATGGCGGCCATGCAGAGACTGTAGATAAATTAGCTCACAGACCAAGAACCAGGAATTCAGTCCCAGTTTTTCAGCATACTGCCTTTACTTTTGAGATCATATCAGAATTACTAGCACTGATCCCCAATATTAACTCAAGTTCTCTGCTCAGATTATTAAATTTGTTTAACTGTCAATCTTACTGTGGAATGGCCAGAGCTTGGAAAGAGCATCTGTACAACCCTTCCAGAAGAAAGCAGAATATTTAGATTATTAGGAAAAATTATACAAATCTTTAGTTCATATGAAATAGGATAATCAAAGTTCACCTTAATGTACCAGAGGCTGAAAAAAAAACAACTTACCAGTAGGTTATTGCGTAGTGTAAGATGCATATTGTGGGAATAAATTCAGGAGCACTCAACTGAAAACAGACTACAAAAAGCTGTGGCTTATGATGAAAACTTTATTCTGCATCAAGGTACCTGGAAAACGAAGCTGGGGCACATTATAGATGAGAAATGATCCATAAATGGTGAATACAAAACTCAGTTATAGATTCCTCTCAGCACCAGGTACTCCAGACTACCAATGCCTAAGTGAAAGTAAAGCATGGTTTGCCACAGTGAAAGGCCAGACGTGAGACATGGCAGAATTGAAACCAGCAGATATAAATGCAGCACCTGTCAGTTAAACAAATACTGGGAAAACCAAATATTGAGGAAGAGTTCTGGCCTTAAACACATCTCCCCTGAAATCCAAGCAGGGGAACAGGTCACTTTTTTTTAAAGCAGTTTAAATCCATTGTATGAAAAAAATATGAATGCCATATGAATTCAATTGTAAAAGGGGGGCACTTTTTGGTTAAAACTACAAAATAAACTGGTTTTATGAAAATGTTGGACATTTCAACTCATTTTCATAATGTCTAAATAATGCTGAAGTTCAGAGAAACTTGAAAGCATGTAGAAGTTAATCTAAAATACAAATGAGGCAAAATGATTTTTTGAAGGGTCACATAACGCCCTCAAGGCCAATGTGGTGTGGCTGTAACCATCTCATAAGCAAAGTAACAGAAGCGTTCAGAGAGCAGCATGGCCTTGAGGCCGCACACAAGTCTCCTCACACAGGGCTTCGCCAGAAAGTGGGGGGGAGGGCAAAGGGCTTGCTTCAACAGTCAGGTGTTTCGGCAGTCCTTCTCCCAGAACCGTTTGCTGCCAGGCGAGCAGGGCAGACAGACCCTGCCACATCCTGTGTAATAGTTTCGTTGAACTTACTTCCAAATAGTCTAGGCTCACGACAGCGGCAGGCACAGGGAGATCGCTTTCTGTTGCCTTCACTGCCACGCCTCTGACTCCCCCTGGTCTCCACAAAGCCATTCTTTTGGTGTCTGCTCACAGTATCGCTTGATCTCAAGTGTGCTCACAAGTTGATTGTGTTTAAATTCTGCACTTCTGCAGTGATATGCTTCATCAGTAGCACAGTGACAAAGCACTAGGCATTCACGCACACAGCCAAAACAAACCAAGTCTTCTGAAGCTCTTTACACTAGCCGTCCCGAAATCCGCCACCGCTCTGCCGAGTGCCATCGACCCTCCCAACTACAAACAAGGGATACATGGTACTGCTGCTCCGAGAGTAGGCACTGCTCCTTGTCTTTCCAACTACTGTCAAAAGGCTCAAAAAATGCAAAATTAATTTTTCACCTTTATTGTCATCAGCCAGACATAAATTCCTTTCTCAATTATTGGCCTATCACCTGATAACTGTTAAATTTTTATTTTTTTAAAAAATGGTTGGAGTTTCTTTATAAAGTATATAAAATTTTCAAAAAAGGATTAATTTTGCTTTTAACTGCATTACTGAATACCTGAGGTAGTTGAGTAAAAATGCACGTCTAATATCCCGCAAGAGCGGTTGGCACTTCCCTTCGGTTCTCCACGTTAGTGTTAGAGAGACAGGAAACACACTTCTACTCTAGTGGCTTAACAGTGTGTTCCTGTGGTAATTCTACTGCGGTCCAATTTCAACAATTGGACTTAAGAACGATCTATTTTTTCTAATTTATTTGATGAATTTAGTGAGTGTACCATTTATGCCAATTTCTGGCATTATGGAGGATGTTAAAATTAGCACATCTGTTATACTTTGATATCACAAGGGAAGTGCGGAGTTCTTTCCCTACCCCCACCTTTTTTTTTCTTTTCTTTTTTGTAAAGCTGGGTGTCATGTATTTCAGAGAGCATAAAATACACATTCTCACAGAGACAGGAGTTCAAGTCGCCTGGTCCTCAGAAACAACGGGCTAGGGAAATACTCGTGCATGTGATTCTGGATGGGTCAGACCCGTCTGTTGGTTAAGCAAATCTGTCTTTGGTTTGACATCTGCCTCTGTGGTGGCTGTCTCCTGAGCCCTTACTTCCGCCTTGACTGAGGGGGTCCACTCTGTAGGGCCTTCTGCTGCTGCTGCTGCTTCACCTGGTTCAGAATTTCCTGAATTTTCCTCTGGGCAACCTACAAAGAGACAGACGTCATAGAACCTGCAGAGTCCAGAGTTACCCTAGTTCAAAGCATCAAGTTGAAATACTTATTAGCGTGCTGGCTGAAAGAACAACTAGATCTGCCAAGCACAGCCAGGCACCAGGGGTGCATGGGGGCAGAAGCTGAGGTGTGGGCACCTCTGAAGCCTAGGAGTTCAAAGCTGCGTGGGTAACAGCAGGAATAGCATACTTTGACACCCCCACCCAATACCTTGAACCCTAAGCATCCAAGAGGTCCACATACATACATACATACATACATACATACATACATACATACACGGAATGGGAGGCCCTATGACAGCTTAAGAACCTGCCATTTTAGAAGCAACTTGCCTGGCAAGCATAGAAGTGGCCAGTTATTTTGACAACAACTTGGTTATTCTCGTCAGGTGTCTGGTCACGGGGGACAACAACTTCAGCACTTGATAAATTCTGGAGTTCGTTCACCTAAAACAGATAAAAGTCACATTACTAAGCATTCAAAGCCTATTTCCAAGCAATTTTTGCCAACTACAGAGTTCATTTCATCCCTAATAGTTCTCTGAGCTGCAGCTCCCACTTTAACTCCAGTTCTGCTCAGCTTTGTTCTGTTATTTCAAAGTTAGAAATCTGGAAATGACTTCACTGAGAATGACTGCAAACTACTTTTTGCAGTATGAGAACTGTAAAATTTCAGCTGTCTCCTTTGGTTTATAAAACAAAAAGTCCAGGTTATATATGTCAGATAATGCTGGATGCCCCTTACAAGTCCCTAGTCTGAAATATGCAGAAGTCTCACTAGCAGATCATAGTCACAAGGCCAACATGGCCCTACTTTGTATAAAGTAGCCTAAGCTCCAGGGGGGAGCTAGGTCCCTGCAGCTCCTCCAGAATGGTAAAGCTCCTGCGGAGGTACTTGCCGTTTTGCCTCCTTTCCCAATGACTCTGCCAGCAGCAAAGGATGGCACTCTGATGTGAGCTTCAAGTTTCACCTCTTCTTTAGGACTAACGAAGTTTTCTTCTTTAATTTTTCCGTAAATTCTTCCCTGAGCCTACAGATGACAATACAGTCTATCAGTGTCGTTCATACTTGAAACAAAAGGTCAGTTAACTTTGAAGACAGCCTAAATCAGCCCGGAATATACACCATTGCAGTGGTACTTCTGGGATGAAGACTGACAACAGTATAAGAGACAGTAGCAAGGAGCCCCAGAGAGGGTTGACAGTATCTGTGCTTCACAGGCAAGGCAAATGAGTTACTGACAGGAGGAGGATGGACCAGGGAGCAAGGTACAATGATCACCATAACAGCCCAAATACCAGTGTCATCGTTAGACCCACTCTGCACACCAACACAAAGAATAAGCCATATTCTGCTGACAATAAAGGCAATTAGTAGTAGGACTAATTAAAAATGACTTTATGGGAAATGGCCATTCCCACTCCTAAAGCCTCTCCTCTGGCAGTAAGAAACAGCTTGCATTTTTCTTGAGCAAAAGAAACTAGGAAAGAGCTACACAGTCAACGGACACCAGGCCCAAAAGGGCCAAGACCTGTCTAAATAGGACAGACACCAGCCAAAACAGCTCTTATTCAGGTGACTTCAGTTTTATGGAGGCTAAAAGGCTGGGCATGACAGGTTTGGTGTGTGGCCCCAGCACTTGAGAGGCTGAAGAGATGGCTGCAATCTGAGGCCAGCCTGGGCTACAGAGTGAGCGCCTATCTTCCTCTTCCTCCCTTCCCCCTAAAAGGCTGCAGAAATCAAGTTAATGGACATTTCTGGTACTCCACTAACATGCCCTGTGTACTGTGTACAACTAGGTGCTGTATGTAAGGAACCTCTTGTGTAACCATTAATTTGTTTTCATACATTTCAAAGGAGAAAGAAGTCTAAGTTGGGAAGTTAGGCCAAGTTGCTAAGAACACCATAACAGCCCAAATAGCATGTGTTCATGGATACTGAGACGCTAGGCTCATTTGAGGGGATTAGAGAAAATACAAAATTCACCTCCTCTCCATTCTTTTTTTTTTTTTTTTAATTTTTGGGGCTAGAGAGATAGCTCAGCAGTTAAGGGAACTGGGTACTCTTCCAGAGGACTCAGGTTCAATTCCCAGCACCTACATGATAACTAACAACCTCTGTAACTACAGTTCCAGGGATCTGATGCCCTTTCCTGGTCTCTATGGACATGTACCTGATGTACAGACAAACTTTCAGGTAAAACACCTGCATACATAAAAATCAATATAAAAAATTTAAATTTATTTTATGTGTATGAGTGGTTTGTCTGCATGTTTGTACCATATGTGTATGCATATGTAATGAGTATCGGATCTGTGGTTTCTCACATGTACTTTCACACTCATGGCCCAGTTTTTAACATTTCGAATGTATGACATGAACTGATGGACCATGAGGCTGCTGGGAGGGGCAGACTTCACCTTGGTGCCTAAGTGGCTATTCAACATATCAAAGCATCTGCGTGTGCTAGTCTCTCTGCAAAAGATGTGAAAGCAGCTCTGGATTTTCAATGACTCAATTCTTTAATTGATGGCTAAAACAAAACAAGAAAGAGGGTCTGGGGCATAGGTCAAGGCAGAGCGCTTGCATAGCAAGACTCTGGGTTAGTCCTTTCCTTCCCAGCTAGGGACGGTGAAGAGAGCCTCGGCAGTGTAACGGTGTGTGCACAGATAGCAGAGACTGAGGCTGACAGTGATTGCTGTCAGTGTACATAGGACCAAGACACGGGTTGGGCTGCTGAGGTGGCTTGCCAATGAGCTCAATAGCCTAGTTCAATCCCCGGGACCCATACAAGTTGTCCTCTGACCTTTACATGCATGCCATGATGTATATGCTCCTCCCATAAACAAACAAACATAACTTTAAAAAAAAAAGGATGTAGGTGTTGAATTTATGAAGAGAATTCAGCAGTTGCCTGAGAAAAGATGTCCCACACTAACCATTCACTGGAATGAAGGCACCTGTAGCTGCAGTGGCTTCACTGACTGGCTCAGAGTTGGCCATCACCAGGTGCAGAGTCTGAGAGCACACATGTGAGAGTGTGCTAGTATTTCAGACACTTTTCTAAGCACTGTATATGTTGCTTATACCTTACAGCTAGGATAGGGGTACTTCTGTTCATTCTATGGAGGAACTGGGGAGAACCATAACTTGTTTAAGGTCACACATGGTAAAAGGCTAAACTAGGATTTGAAAATGAGGGTCTAGCTGTCACACTGTCTCCACCACCTCAGAAACACATGGAGATTTTTCAGCTCCAAAGACCCCAGGTACCAATAAATGTGTGGCAGTTCAAGCCAGGTCACGTGCCATTCTAGGCCCAGGCTTTCTAACTAAAATCCTAGAATAGTGAAGGGTAAGAGAAAAGGGGCCACTGTAAAGGTTAGAGCATCTCCAAGACAGAAGGAGACATTGAGAACAGGTTTACAAGGGTCATTAGCAGGCAGGTGTGTGTCAGTGTTAAAATTTCATCATGTCAATGGTGATAGGAAACCAACACCACACAGAACTAAAGGCTCTTGGCTTATGCTTATGACTAATTCTGGCATGGCTCCACTCTGATCTTTAGAATTTCCACTGAAGCAGCAGGCATCTTGCTCCCTCTGGTTACCTGTACCCTCCACTGCACATACCTTGAACTGAGCTTCTGGTGGTCCAGTGATAATCACCATCCTCACTTTAGCATCCGGTGCTTCGGCTGGAGCGATCTGTAACAGACCCATCACCAGCCAGTTATGATACTTTCTGGTGTCACTGACAAACCTTAGGCCAACCAGCTTGACATCTGCACATGACTGACTGAGCTGTGGAATTAAATGCCTTCTGGAAAGGAATTATGGAGAGGCTGTGATTAATATGGGCCAGTCAGATAGAGCACACTATTTACTGAGTACTTACAAGGTGCCTGACTCTAATGTAAACTGCATGGACCATCACTGAGCCAACCCACACCACATCTAGCTGAAGAATGATCACTTTTCAGAGGGAGCACTGAAGGCTGAGGGCATGAAGGAACCTGACCCATAACTGTAGAGTTAACAGCCTTGAGAGAGCTGGCTGTGCCCACTGTTTGGCTTTCGGTATTAACTACACTGGTACCTGAAGTGTGGTAACATGTTAAAGAGCTCTGGACTCCTAAGTTGTGAGGCCACTACATCCATGGCATCTCCTTAGCTTTCAAAGGAAAGGGTAATCTGCTTAGGCAGCTGTGCCTCTCAGACTTAAATGTGTGGGGGGTAGAGATTGCTTAAGGTATCCTGTTTTAATATTAACTGAACAGGATCCTGGTAAACTCAGACTTCTGTTTTCATGGAGTGTATGAAATCACAAAGCTCAGGCTGGGGAAACAGTGAAAATGTTAGGGGAAAGAGCCAGCATGCCCAGAGCCCAAGGACGGATTTAGTGTCCCCACAAGGAGTTTAAAGAAATCTGGGCTGAGGAGATGCTCATGTTGCATAGTGGTAAGGACTGTGGTGTGGATCTCCACCTGTAATTCTAGGATGGAGTCAATGATGGGTTCCCCAGATCAAACCAGGGAGCAAAATAGCCTTATTAATAAATTTCGGATTCAACTGAGAGACCCTGACAATTGCTACATATTTGGTGTGGATCTTGGTCTATTGATGTATATTTCTGCTCTTGATTAAGGTATTGTGATTGTGCAGTTCATTTAAAAATATCATGTATAATTAAGAAATATAGGTTAATAGATAGTCATTCATAATAGTCATGTTTGTTAGGTTTTCTAGATATATAGAGACATTTCAGTTAGATAGGTGTTCTTCAAATCTTTCAGAGCCCTTCAGAATATGGCATTTATTAAAATGTTTTAAACTTAAGACTTTCCATGACACATTTGCTCCTGGCAGCGCCAATCTACTTCAAGAGGAGAATGGGCATTGAAGAGGCTCCTCATGGAGTTTGCTAGCCATTTGAGCAGGAAACTGCTCTTGCTCGAACTGCTTGATAGTATGCTGTGTGAACTGGACATGCAGGACCCACAGAGAAATGACTGATGAACTTGCCTAAAGGCGAGATGATCCTTCAGGGTTCCTGCTTCATGAAAGATTCTGCCAGTCATTATGCAGGACATAGATGAAAGTGACTGACAAACTGCCAATATAGGCAGAACTGTCTTTGAAATTTCCTACTTCATGGAAAAGTCCTGCCAGATACTAAGTGCCTGAAGGCTGAAGATGGATGCTCCAACAGTACAGAAGAACACTGGGTGATTGTCCAGGCAGTGAGTGGTTTCTGTCAATTCTAGAGTTTTGATAGTTGCTTACAATGCACTTCCTGTTTACTTAGGTAATATTATATCCTTCTGGAGTCTTTGATGGAGTTGAAAAATAATATAGTTATAGTTTTCCTTAGTTATGATAAAAAATAAAGTAGATACAAATATTCTAACTGTAATTCTTACTTGATACCTGTTTTTGTTATATGTAAATTTACTATGTTAAAGTTAAAATCTTCCTTTTTATTTAAACAGGAAAGGGGAGGTGATGTGGGATTCCCCTCTATATGCTGTGAATACTATCGGTTAATAAAGAAACTACTTTGAGCCTATAATAGAAGGCGGAGACAGAGAAGTCATGGAGCCACCACCAGAGACAAACATGCCAAAACTCTGTCCAAAAGCCACTGCCATGTGGCAATACACAGATTAGTAAATATGGGTTAAATTAATATGTAAGAGCTAGCCAATAGGAAGCTAGAGCTAATAGACCAAGAAGTGATTTAATTATTACAGTTTCTGTGTGATTATGTTGGGAGTCTGGGCAGCTGGGAATTGAACAAGCAGACTTTCTACAATATGGCGGCCTTCATCTTAAAGCAACAACCCAAGGTTGGGGACACAATTCAGATGAAAGGACGTTTGGATAAACCCCAGCACCCATAAAAACAATCCCAAGCTGGAAAGGCAGGGACAGGAGGATTCCTGAAAACTCACTGGCCAGGCAGCCCACTGAGTTAGCAAGCTGGTCAGTGGCACCCTACCCAGAAAATAAGGTAGGTGTGACTGAGGAGACCGTAGACATTAACCTGTGGCCTGCACGTATATACATGTACTCATGCACAGATGTGTATGTGTGCGTACACACACACACAACAAACACCCCTTGTCTAATTCTGAATTGCTTCAGCACCGAGAAATACAGAACCTGTAGAGCACACAATGATTTCTCATGATAGACACTAGTGGTCCCACATCTACATAATAAATGCTTAGCTGACAACATAAAACTCCATTTCCTTGCTGCCCCTTCAGCTTTGCCTGGCCAAGTTCTGAGAATGTAATATAGGCAAAAATATCCCATAGCAACCAATAGGCAACTCCCTTATAGAAAGACTTCACTACGTCCTCCTGTCCTCAAAGGCCGGGTAACAGATGTGGCTTTTAAGAGCACTACTGTGGAGAAGAGCCAGAGGAAATTGTAAGTCAAGATCTCAGAGGCATGGAGGTATTGTGCAATTTTGCTTCTCCACAGACTGATTTTTCTGGAGAGAGACTATCTAACCACAGTTAAACCACAGTTGTAGTGTTCCTGTCCTATGGTTATCTAACCTGAATTCAGCCTGCCACTTTCACTTTCTTATATAATCAGAAGAGCCATGGTTTCAGAACAGTACCTTAATCGAAGCTCCTGCAAAACGAGAAAGCTGTTTGATGTGTTGGCCCTGCTTGCCAATGATGGCGCCAACTGACAGAGCGGGAATAAACAGGTGCACAGTCTCCGTTTCCGACTGCTGTAAGAGAAGAAAGTCATGGCATGAATGCTTATCTGCTATAAAATAAAGCAAAAGGTGGCACCCTCACCTTTGGGATGAGCACCTTCTTGTCCCAGTAGAAATACTAGGAAGGTCATAGGGAATCCACAATGAGTCAACCAGGGTTCACCTACCAAGTCATACTGGTCTAAAAATCTCACTTTTGACTTTTGTTTAGGTTTCCTAAATTTCAAAACCTCACCAAATTATAGATGCTTTGCCTTCTTTCTATTATATATTTAGACCATAGAGTCTAGATCCAAGGTGGCTTCAGACTACACATCACAAACTAGACAGCAGCAATGGATACAAGCTCCAGACTTTAGGCAGACCCGCCCGCCCGCCCGCCTTTCCAGAGATGAGGACCAAATCCAAGGCCTTGTGCCTGCTAGGCAAGTATTCTTCTGAGCTAAATCCCCAGCCCCAGGTTTTCATTTCTTAAACACGGAAAGTAAAGAACTCTAAGGAAAAAACTTATCTATATGTACAAACCATACCAAATACCATTATCTTTCTACACTGCAAGTAAGCTACTTCCTCCCATGCTCTCCCTTGGCATCTTACAATCAGAACCCACTATGAAAGCTAAGTTCTGAAAGGTTATGCACAAATGGACTCATCTGCACCCTCACTCTCCCTGCCTTACACTGGTCACTGTGCCCTCTCCAGGCTCCTTCCTCAGTCACGACAGCAGGGCTGAAAGACATGGTCACTCAGATAGCTCAGCGACCGAGTTCCTCCTCACAAGGCTGCTCCAAGGGGCGGTACCAGCATGGAGTGGGAGTTCTAATGGAGCTGCATCCTGCTCACGTACCTTATTCTCTGCTCACCTTTTAACAACAGGAAGTGTGTTCAGGAAGATTTTAACATTAGCCAATGTGGTGGTTTGAATGAAAATGGCCCCCCAAAGGCTCACAGAGAGCAACACTATTAGAAGGTGTGGCTTTGTGGGACAAAGTGTGTCATTATGGGTAGGTTCTGAGGTTTCAGAAGCCCAAGCCAAGCACTTTCTCTTCCTGCTGCCTGCCAATCCAAATGTAGAACTCTCAGCTACCTCTCAAGCACCACGTCCGCCTGCTCGCCACCATGCTTCCCAACATGATGATAATGAACTGAACCTCTGAACCTGTAAACCAGTCCCAATTAAATGTTTTCCTCTGTAAGAGTTTCTGTGGTCATGGTATCTCTTCACAGCAACTAAAACCCTAAGTAGGACAGCCATCGAAAGCGTCTTGGGGAAAGGGCCACAGGTGCTATGTTGGGCCATGAAGATGTCAGAAAGAGTCCAAGAAGCTGCCATGAGGAGGAAGCTGCTGCTTGGGGCTGAGATTATGTGACACATTCCTATTCCTACTTAAACATCTCAATTCCCTGCCTAACACCTCTGCCACCTGTAATTAGGATAAAATACTGTTCTGGAGCTTGTTGCACTTAGGAAATGTGTTTTTTTTAAAAAAACATATAGTGGGGGCTAGAGCCACAGCTCAACCATTAAGCGCACTGGCTGCTCTTCCACAGGACCCAGGTTCAAGTCCCAGCACCCACATGGCAGCCCACAACTGTAACTCCAGTTCCAAGAGATCCACTCTCTTCATTGACCTTTGTGAGCACCATACACATGTGGCACACAGACACCCTCCCCCCACAACAACAACAAATTCTAAAGGAAAATATACATCACTAAAGCAGAGTATGCATTTGAGTTTTCAAGAAAATGCTATTGGGTCACATCTCTACAGGTGGAAGAAGCTATCTGCAGAAGGAAATTTAAACCTAGATGACTTGGTAAGAAGATCTCACAGAGCTGTCTCCTGAAGTCCCCAGCTCAGCTCTGGAAAAGGAACTGTTAGCAGGAAACAGCTGAAATTACCGTGACCCCACAGTACGACAGCAGCGAGTGACCCGTGAGGGGTCTGTGATGGTCTCAACGTCCTGTGAGGAGATGAAAGCAGCAGCCTGGGGACGGCCCAGTGGTCGGCATGCACTGCTGGCGACAGCAGCTGAAGTGGCCCGTCGGCCATCTGAAGCTGGGTTAGGGTGTTTCTGAACACCACCCAGCTCCCTGGCTCCAGTTCCATTCTCACCAGCCATCTTGCTGGCCATAAATTATTTCACAAGGGAATTTTCCTCTGAAGACACAGGCAGCTCATGGAAACATCTGTCCACTTGACTGTCTGGTACAGCGTGTTCTTGTATGGAATTCAGCATGAGAAGCCATGTTCTCAGGATCTGTCCCAGATAAGCACAGTTTCATTTTGAATAGCAGACCTAAGCAGATAGGTTCTACCCACAGCTTTAATTAGCCACTGAGATTTGAAGAGACCCCGTTCAGCACCACGCTTCCTTCTGACAAATTCCTTGGGTTTCAGTTCACGGTCCTAAACACGTAGGAGACCCTTTCCTGAACACACTCTTTGAGGGTGAAGGCTAGTAACAGGACGCAAGCTGCTTCCCAGTGGACTGCTGCCAGATGCCTATGGCAAAGCTTCCTTCGGACTCTTGGCAAGCACTGTGCTGTGTCTTGAAATAACAAGAACAAAGCTGCGAGGCCGAAAGCTTGCGTAACTGGCCAAGTCTGCCAGCGAATAATTCCTAATCACCCGCTATCGAGAAGATACAAGCAACAGCAAACAGTGAGGTTAAGTGTATTTACTTTGCAGGGAACAGAATCTCAGCATCACAAAGGCGTGGAGACGCCTGGCAGCCTAGAGAGCAGCCTCCAGGAACCTGGCAGCATGCCAGTGTTTTCCTTTGGCGTGAAGGATAGGTGCTTGGGGGAGGGAGGGGTTGTTTTTAAGTAGATTTGGGTCTGGAACTGGAACCAAGTTTACTCAACTCCATGACCTGAACAAAATACTGAAGCTTTTTTTTTTTTTTTTTTTTTTAAAGGAAGTAAACCAAGGCTCCACATGGCGCAGAGTTTATTTTCCTAGGAATGCTTGCTGCACCCGTGCTGGAACTATCTGACCGAGCCCAGGCCAGCAACTCAGTTGTATGGAGGGTGTCTCTGCTGGACCATCTTCCTCGCCACCATCATACCAGGATGCTAGCCACTTCATTCATGGTCATCTTGGCAGCTTCAGAGAAGAGTGTAAAGAAGCTATCAGAAGTGTAAAGACAAGAGCCCACAGGTTTATTCCTGCCAACCCACCCGCATGCAGCCAACACAGCCAGCTAAGAAAGAGTACACACACTTCGCCAGCTCCAGCTCATGCCCTGCTCACTGGCTGCCACCTCTCCCTTCCCTACTGTTTGGGCATTTCTGAAAGGAGCATTTCCTGTCATTTATAAATGAGAGACTTGCAAATTAAGTACTGAGTGAGCCAGCTGCCAGGCAGGAACTAGAGACTTTCTGAAATCTGTTGGAAGATACAGCACTTTGGCTATTTGGAGAAGTCAACCTCACAGGTTCTAGGAGAGAGGCTACTTCGGAAGGGTGAGTGGGGGGGATGAGTGAGTGGGGGACAGGTGAGTGGGGGACAGGTGAGTGGGGGACAGGTGAGTGGGGGAATGAGTGAGGGGGGATGAGTGGGCAGAGTTCTGGAATGGAAAGAGGAAAGAAGGCTATCGACAGACAGTACACAGCATTTTCCTCATGTTACAAAGCAGAAATGAATAAATGTGCATAAAGAAGTCAATTCTAAAAGTCCATAAAATGTCTTCGTGGTGGTGGCGGCAGCTAAAAACCTTCTCGGGGCTGGGGAGATGTGTGAAGTTAAGTTAAAGTTAAGTCAGTAAAGTTACAAACTTAAGTTTGGATCCCTTGCGCTTACGGAAACACCCAGCACAATGGCATGCCTCTACACAAGTGGATCCCTGGAGCTCACTGGCCACCAGCCCAGCCAAGTCAATGAGCACCAGACTCAGTGAGGGAAGTTTACTCAGATAACAAGGTGAAAGGCTGGAGAGATGGCTCAAAGTGCTACCCATACAAGGCAGCTGTCTCAGAAAAGGTGGAAGCCTAAGACTGACCCCAGATGCTGTGGTGTACATGCTATGCACATGTGCATGCCTGTATGTGTACACACACACCAGACTCACAAACACAGCATACACAGACTCACACAACATACAAAAAGATATAAAAATAAACACTCACTACACACATACTCAAAGACACACACAAAAAGATATAAACACAAACACACTGCACACAGACTCAGAAAAAGGTAGCAGCTAAAGATAAGGCAGACAGCAACAGAGGAATCAGAGATCGATCTCTGGCTTCCACATGCACATTAATGCATGTACACAACTCAAACACACATGAACACACGCACACCAACATGTATGTGTGTATACACAAACACACTGAAACTCCCCCTCTTAGTGAGTGCATTTTAAGTGAAAGCATAGATTCACTCTTACCCCACAGGATATCAAAGATTAAGATGACTTTAATAAGTAATTGGAATTTTCTGAGATAGCTGCTAATAGCAAGATTTGTTCTTTTGGGACTGGACATCAAACCCGGAGCTCTACACAGTAAAGAGCTGTCCCACTGAGTGACCTCCCCAGCCAGGGACAGAAAGCTTCTCATCACAAGGGTGGTCACCTGAATGTGGCATAATGTAACCATTCCCAGAACACATACCTGAGAACCCTCAGCTCACACCCAGTTTTTAAAAATAACACCAAAGGCCCACAATAGCACACTCTTCAGCAAGGTAAAAAACAAAAGGAACAGGGGCTGGAGAGATGGCTCAGTGGTTAAGAGCACTGGTTGCTCATCCAGAGGACCTGAGTTCAATTCCCAGCACCCACATAGTGGCTCACCACTTTACAAGCTCTATAATAGGACCTGATGCCTCCTCTTCTGGCTGGCACACACACAGAGCACTCATACGTAAAATATAAATAAATAAAATTTGAAAAAAACAAAGAATCGGACAAGAGAATGTGGAGGGTTGGAAGTGTGGCTCAGTGGGTAGAATACCTGCTTAGCATGTGCACAGATCTGAGTCCAGATAACTAGACAC